GTCCTAACCCGTCATTACAAGTGACATGACAAAGAAACATTATCTAAAGCTTTCACAGTGAATAAAGTTAATCTTCATCTTCAAAACCAGCAGATTCAGCTGTGAGATTCAGATCAACTCAAAGATGGAGTTCCTGCCCAAAGAACAATGTCAGGAAGTTTTATTCTTATGTATCGTTTTGCTTCATGATATGAATTATATCATTGTGCTTTCTTATGAGTTTCATATTATGTTCAGTTGTCTTATAATGTATATTTGTCACTTGTAGTTTACTTACTCTTTAATGAACCAAAGTAGAAGCTTGTTACCAACTGTTTTTGTTAAAGAAGCTGAAGAAGAGACTGTAACACTTTTAGGAGAGACTGAGAATTAATTGTAATAGTGTTCTTCATTTTTAAAATTACTAGTTATTCTTCCACTTAGGAAACACAGATGCAAGATATACTGTCCTGTAGATTTGTTACTGATCCTTCTGTTCTTCTCTTGTAAGTAGGAACGGTACCTGAACATGGTATTAAATGAGCTCTGGGGCTAAAATACGAAAGACCATAGTATTGATAAGCTTTGACGTGATCGGATCTGCTTTCGCTACTGGAGAAGCTAAGAAGATACACTAACAATTTATTATTGCTACATAAAAGTTATCAAGCTAATTGTACTTACCAATCATTTCTATATGCAATATCATCATCAATTATACATTTGCGTTGAGCGATTAATCAAATTTTATTGTTGATTTTGAGTTTGTCTTCCATGGATTATAAAAACAAGATGTTTGAGGTAAAGCGATATATTGGAGAAAATCTGATTTTTCAGTATCCTGGATCCGTGCATTAGTTCTTAAAGTGACAGCAGTCTAATAAACCTGTAGTCATTTGTATCATTAATGATAGTCAAGCAACTAAAGAAAAAGAGACACTTCAATCTTTGCTCTTGACTGAATGACTTTAGCTTTAATAAGCATTATTCCATCAGTTTATACAGTGAAGACTATGCAGTTTTATTTTAGATTTTATTAATTTATTCAGTTTCTGTTGTAGGCTATTATTTACCTGAGTACTAGACCTTAGTTGTTTTTTTGTATCAAAATTATATATAAAATGTATAAATATTAACACTATAAATGGCTTCATACGGGTGCAATTACAAGTAGATGTTTTATATTAATTTGTTTTTATAATAATAATATGTTCAAACATGCAGTTTCTTTCTTATAGATTTTTACATTTCAGAATATAAAGCCATTCAGGTTTTTTTTTTCATTGAAAATCAAACAACAGCACAAATGAATACCATTAAAGAACTGGACTGATGTGCAGTGTCGTAAGAATAGTAATACTGTTAAAACCTTAATGATACCCATGCCTACTTAAAATCTATCTCATTAGTTTTCCTTTTCAATTTAATTAATTATCGATCACTTTTTCTTTGAGCAATTATTGATTAAATTGTACTTTTTTATTAATACATTGTCTTCATTTTATTAATACATTGTCTTCATTTCATTGACTTTAATCAACTTTTATTGTCTGCTAATTGTATTTGCAAATGGAAAATATTTGCTTTTTGGGTTTTCTCAATACACGAGCCAGTACTGAGCGGGATGCTGGAGGAGAGATGTTTGTGGCTCTTAGTGAGGAAGACTTTATCAAGGAGCAGATGAAGGAGAGAGGCTGAGTTCATGAATGGTATTGAACGCTGAGCTGTAATCTCTGAAGAGCGTTGTTCTTACACAGGTCTCCTGGAGCTGGAGGAGGTTGAGTGAAGTGTGAAGGGCTGTGCTGATGCATAGCCCAGAGAGATTAGGACTTTTTTTTTTAAAGTGACAAGTATAATTAATAAAAATTTTGCACTTACAAATTGCATAAATAATATTATGAATATTTTTAAATATAAAATTTAGAACACGGAAATATGACTGATACTTTTAAAAATGAGACCAAAATTACCAGTAGGTGGCAGCAAGCCACTGTCTTAATGAATGAGTCGTTGAGTCCTTTATTCAGTCAGTCCTTCAAAACGGCTGATTCATTCAGAAACGAAGAAAGAAACTTATTTTTATGAATGGGTCAGTGAATCAATGATTCAAGGCATTCAAAAAAGTCAAATTCATTCAGTAACAGAACTGCAGTGAGACGCACAACATGACTTTGGAACCATTTTTACTAGAGCAAAAATAATTTTTTTTCTCTACGATTTAAATCACTTATTAACTTCTTGTTTATTGAATTATTTTGCCCTGACTCAGTGAAGTCTGCCACAGACAATGCTAACCAATCTGTCCATTCTAATTGCATGTGTCTCATAGAAAGTCTGTGCATATAATACCATAATTAAAAGTGTATTTATTGCTATACAGTAACAATAGTCTAATGTTGACAGTTGCTGAGATCGGTATTATGAATTAATAGGCTACAGTAAGTTACAGTTGCCCCAAGCAGTTGCATTTTCTGTTTAAGTGCTGGTTTAATTGAATTATAATGCTCATGAAAACTCAACTCAACACCGATCGGTCTGCGCAGCGCTGCTTCAAGTACAACACAAATAACATTTTTTTTATTACAATATGTAAGAAAAAGTGAAGACGTCGAAGATCTTGATGAAGAATAACTTTTATTACAGAATAGTAGTGATAAAGTACATGTAGTACCTTGGGTTCAACGGAGTCAGACTGAACCCCGAACATCCTAAGCTCAATCATTTTATACAGTATTACGTTTATCTTCCCTCTCAACATGTAAATGAAGTTTCGTTTTAAATGTAAATTGCGGATGACAATTAAAGTGATAGTCTTCCGTTCCCACATCTTCGGTAGACTCAAGTGGGAAGAACCAAAAGTTAAGGTGATAAGATTAAACAGAATCCATAGCAGTTCTTTCATGTACCCTTTTGGTCAGCAGATGGTTCTTGACGACTTGCTGCTTCTCCCACACTATCTCTGGAGGTAATGTTAATATTTACATATGATTAAGATCGGAAAGAACTATCTATATGATAATTAAGCTCTTTGTAGAGAAAGGAGCATAGTTTAATACACAATTTGGAGTGGAAGCTGGGTCGAGGCAGACTATAATTTCTTACAATAATAACAAAGATAATTAAAAAAAATACAGTATGTACAAAACACTACATCTCTGTGGCGCTGATTTGGCCGTACGCAGGGAAAGAAGGAGACCAGAGGACATTGTATGACTGGCTGAGGTGCCTCACGTAGCAACCCAACGAGCCTATAGTGTGCAGGTCAGGTGTTCGCTGTTAGTGCGTGAGCTGTACTCATAGAAAGCTCGAGAAAACTGCGTCATTGGACCGTTGGACTCGTCAACCGAAAACCTCCTTCAGAGAAAAAAGCTGATATTTTTCAAGGTGAGTGTAATATTTATTGGTATTTGCAAACGTTGTACCGTGTTTTGCAATGTTAATGTTAAGGTTAGAGTCATGCTAACATTAGCTAACTGCAAAGCCTGACCCAGATAGCAAATGACATCTGGCCCAGTTCTGGCCCACATCTCCCACATTCTTCTGGCCCACATACCACTGTTAGTGCGTGAGCTGTACTCACAGAAAGCTCGAGAAAACTGCGTCATTGGACCGTTGGACTCGTCAACCAAAAACCTCCTTCAGAGAAAAAAGCTGATATTTTTCAAGGTGAGTGTAATATTTATTGGTATTTGCAAACGTTGTACCGTGTTTTGCAATGTTAATGTTAAGGTTAGAGTCATGCTAACATTAGCTAACTGCAAAGCCTGACCCAGATAGCAAATGACATCTGGCCCAGTTCTGGCCCACATCTCCCACATTCTTCTGGCCCACATACCACGTGGAATGACGGTGATGACTCAGCCTGAGTCTGGCTGACAGAAGTCAGCCACAACTGAACTGGATCTGGGCCACATCTCACAAATGGCAAGGGCAATTTCTGGCCCAGTTTTGGCTGACAGAAGTCAGCCACAACTGGACCGGATCTGGGCCACATCTCACAAATGGCATGGGCAGCACCTGGCTGCACAGCCTGACCCAGATAGCAAATGACATCTGGCCCAGTTCTGGCCCACATCTCCCACATTCTTCTGGCCCACATACCACGTGGAATGACGGTGATGACTCAGCCTGAGTCTGGCTGACAGAAGTCAGCCACAACTGAACTGGATCTGGGCCACATCTCACAAATGGCAAGGGCAATTTCTGGCCCAGTTTTGGCTGACAGAAGTCAGCCACAACTGGACCGGATCTGGGCCACATCTCACAAATGGCATGGGCAGCACCTGGCCCAGATGTCACCCCCGCCATTTCTGAGATGTGGCCCAGATCCGGTCCAGTTGTGGCTTACTTCTGGGTTAGATATGGCCTACATTTACCCTTTCTAGATACAAAAGCATATGCAATTCATCCAGAATAAAGAAAACACTCATATAGTCTAAACTGCTTTATTAAAATATCAAAATTAGACAAATACAGATATTTAAAAAAAAAATATATACATAGAGAGAAATCAGAAATACAAATGCATGTGTATAGATATAAAACAAATACATTTACATTATTACAAAATAAAAAATACAGATAAATATTTATAAATCTAGTTAAATACACATTTACATTTAGCAGACTTACAAGCGACTTACAAATGAGGACAATGGAAGCAATCAAAATCAACAAAAGAGCAATGATATGCAAGTGTTTTAACAAGTCTCAGTTAGCTGAACACAGTACACGTAGCAAGGTTTTTTTTTTAAATTGCATAATAAATAAAAAGAAAACGGATAGAATAGAGCAAGCTAGTTTTAGAGGCCTTATTTACTTTTGTTAATTGTATAATAAAAAAACAAAACAGATAGATAGAATACAAAAAGATTAGAGAAGCTAGTGTTAGTTTTTTTTTTGTAAGAAAACAAGCAGTTAGTAAATGAAAGACAACATATACACATGACATGTATATCACATAACATATTAGGGCTGTGCGATTTGGGGAAAATATCTAATTGCGATTTTTTTTGACAGATATTGCGATTTGATTTGCGATTTTAATTTTGCAAAGTCAAGCTTCAGCTTAATATTGTCAATAGTGTGCAGCACAGTATGGGTTTCGTTACCCTGCTGAAAAAAACAATAGAAACCATCACAGAAATTCTTATGGTTTCCATTAAAACAATTACAAAATTCCTTTTTGTAGTGTGTTTTGGGCATTATTCCAATAGGAATTACTGTTCTATTGTTTCCCATCTGCCAGTTTACATCCCACCAATAGAATCCATCAAATACCAGTAGACACCATTATAGTTTACATTAAAACCAATATAAATCCCATTATAACCCTTAAATCCATTAAATGTTCTATTGTGTTTTGAGAGGGGTTCTATGTTTTTTTTCAACAAGGAATATTACTTTTACAGTATTTACTTAATTACTGAATTTCAAAGGAATAGGATGATTTATTCGTATTTAAGTATTTAGGATTTTAAGAACAAGTGGAAAATGTGCTGAATGTTTCATTTCTTCCAAGTGAAATTAGCAAAGCAGTTAAACTGAATTTACATTTGTGTTAAATACGGAGACGGGCGTGAGTTGACACAGGTTGCAGCCGTGCGTCAAGCCTTGTCCATATTGCCAGATGTGCTCGTAGAGGCTTGTGGTGTGGAGTATACAGAGTATAAACGAGCATTACGAAACAGGCTGCGTATGTACAGCAAGTGTAAACGGATCCTCCGTGAGACGCGGCAGAGAGGAGGGAGAATGAGAAGCATTCTGTGTGCGGTCTTCTGAATTGGGAATAGCGAACATGCATTATAAACTTATTTCAAATTAGAATCTGTTGGGGAGATAAAATGTGCAAGATAACGTATATGTACTAATAAAAACATCTAGGAATGTATCTTTTACTCTCCAGTACTGAAAGCAGAACCAATAAGGGAGCTCTTGATATGTGTTGTGACACAGCTCTTGCAAATTAACATTACCTTTTTTGTTTGGTGTCTTGTCACTTCGAAGCCAAAGTAATCTCATATTACATAATTTTTTTCTTTAGTATTAATTTGCCTGACTATCGATCTGACCCTGTAGATGCCATAATCACACACACTCTCTCTCTCCCGCTTTCTGTTTGTTTTTTTTTAATGGAGGGTGTTTACGCAGTTGGTTAGAGCAGTGCCGATTGGGGAGAATGGAGGTGCGCTCATTCTATTGGTTAGTAAGACTGCCACACAAGGCTGGCAGTCATGCATATGCTCTGGAAGAGTAATATTGCGTCCACAACGCAGGTTTTGCAATTAGCAAATCGCAACGTCTCAAATCGTGATTGTGATTCGATTTCGATTAATCACACAGCCCTATAACAGATACATACAGAATTCCAATAAAGTATATACATTCAACTATTCTCACTGGACTGCTACATTGTTAACCAGAGGAGCACAACACATTTCTGCAAGAGGAGTCAAAGAAATGGAGAATTCAAATCAACAGTTCGATAACTAGCTAACTAACCATGAGCAAGGCAAAACGGGAGTCCATGAAACAGGCAGGGGTCAAAACTAGAAAGCAGTCCAAAGAAAACATCAATCCAGAGGGTAATTCAGACACGAGGTCAGGGGCAAGCGAGGGTCAGAGCCAAAAAGCAGTCCGATACCAACAACCTGGAGACAGGAGAAGACAACATCTTAAAGGTGCTTTATGTATTTTTGACAGTATTAAAGCATTAAAATATTATGTTTGCAGATATAGAATGTTTGCAGCGCCCAGTTCAACTGCAGGCTGTCAATATTACATAATGCACCTTTAAATCTTCTCTCCTGGCCTCCATCCCATCTCTGGCAAGCTGCAGCCATCTTTTAATCCAGTGTTCGACTTCCTGGTCTGTTGCAGTGGCGGTAGTTTGTATGTCCATCTATAGTTGCCATCATCTAAGGTCTTTTTGAGTATTGGCATCATCTGAAGTCCTCACAAGTCCTGGTGCTGTGCAGTTTCTAATAACCCTGGGATGGACATTTGGAGAAACAGGAAGGCAAAGGGAGAAAGATTAGCATAGCTGCTGTTCATAATATTTCAGGCAAAAAATTATCATGAGCACTTTTTACTATTTCATCAATGGAGTACAAGGTTATGACATGTGTTTTGTGAATGCTTGGCTAAAAAGGAGTGTTTTTAATCTAAACTGAAAGAGTATGCAGAATGTTTCTAGATCCCTTAATAAACATGATTTGTTCTCAGTATTTGGGGAACAGACACAGTCTCTATAGAATGGACTACATATGCCAGAGTATCATTTAATACATTTTAATCAAATTTAAGTGGGAGGAACATCATAACTGTAATTTACACAACCATTCAAGAGTTTGGTGTCTGTAAGATATTTTATGCCTTTAAAAGAAATCTCTTATGCTCATTACGGCTCAATTTATTGGATCAAATTACAGTAAAACAGTAACACTGTGAATTCAAAACAACTCTTTTCTATGTGAATATTATGTTAAAATGTAATGTATTCCTGTGATCAAAGCTGTATTTTCAGCATCATTACTCCAGTCTTCAGTGTCACATGATCCTTCAGAAATCATTCTAATATGCTGATTTGCTGCTCAAGAAACACTTCTGATTATGATCAATGTTAAAATACAGATATGCTGACATTTTTTTTAGGATTCGTTGTTACATAGACTCCAAACCTTTGAATGGTACTGTTACATGCATTAAATTGATCAAAATCATGCGTAAAGATTTTTATTTCAAATAAATGCTGGTCTTTTGAACTTTCTATTCATCTATGAATCCTGAAAAATAAAATGTATCACGGTTTCCACAAAAATATGAAGCAGCACAACTGTTTCAACACTGATAACAAGTTTCTTGAGCAGCAAATCAGCATATTAGAATGATTTCTGAAGGATCGTGTGACAATAAAGACTGGAGTAATAATGCTGAAAATACAGCTTTATCATCACAGGAGTAAATTACAGTTTACAATGTATTCACATAGAACACGGCTATTTTAAATTGTAATAATATTTCACAATATTACTCTTTTTACTTATTTTTAATCAAATAATTACTGCAGAGGTGAGCAGAAGAGAATTCTTTCCAAAACATTAGAAATGTTTGGCTCATGTTAGAAAACACTCTCTGTCTTTCTGTTGAGTCCAGATATGTCTTACCCCTCCTTTTTCTCCCTCTCTCTCATTCTTATATATACAACGCATTCTCTCTGAATTCCTCCTTCTGTATCCATCTCTCTCTCTTGATATTATGTTTTAAATATGTCTTACTTATAGGCGAAGTATGCATGCTTAAATGTATACATTAGCTTCTCTTGATTCAAATGTCCCAAATAAGGACAGGAATGTTAGGACTACAAGGGTAAAGGAGTTCGTGATGAAACCATGAAGACAGTTCAGCATTCTTCGCAAAAGTCTATTCCTAATATGTCCATGTTTTTCTGTACATGTGGATTTTATATAAACACATGTTCTTGGCCAAAGATCCTACGTGTATGTTATTCATATCCTCATTGGTTAAGAGGATGAAACTCCCCTCGACATATGCCTATATAATATCTGTATTTCTATGAATAAATTGAAGTATTGAGGATACATTTGACTGTGTGTTTTCTTACTTCCCGGCCGTCT